CGTGGACAATTTGGATAACACCAGGATTATGTCCCAGTTTAAATCCCCTGTGACCCTGGGGCGCCTGGGTGGCTCAGTCGTTAAGCATCTGCTTTCGGCTCAGGTCATGGTCCCAGGGTCCTGGGATCAAGTCCCACATCGGGCTCCCTGCTCAGCGGGAAGTCTGCTTCTCCCTCTCCCACTCCCCCTGCTTGTGTTCCCTCTCTTACTGTGTCTCTCTCTGTCAAATAAATACATAAAACCTTTAAAAAAGTTAATCCTGCGATGAGAACACTCTGATGTATAGACAATGATTACCTCCCTTCTACAGACGGGAAAGTGAAACACAAGAGAGGAAAGACACTCACCAGCAAGTGGGAGAGCGGAGATGCGCAGTCTGGACTGCCCCTGGAAGCAAGAGAGCCTCAAGCCCGACTGCCCGGGACCCGAATCCCGGCTCCACCACTCACCAGCTGGGTGTTCTCTGCAAAGTTGCTCAACCTTCTGTGCCTCAGTTGGCTACCTACAAAATGGAGGTAATGGCAGCCCCTACTACACTGGGTTGTTGTAAGGATTAACTGAATTAATAATACTTTTGAAGTGCTTAGGACAGTACCTGGTACATTGTACCACCTCATAGATGTCTTGAAAGGAAACCTGGCTGCCCACCAGCGAGCAAACCCCCTGCCTCCCCTCCAGAGAACAAGCTCAGGGGAGAAAGTTCAGAGATTGGCTAGAACCCAGGACTGGGTAGGCGGAAACACTTGAAAAAAATTAAAGCCTCAAACTTGGGGGTTAGGAAGAACCCAGCCTTTGGTAGGGGTAGGGACGGAGGTGGGGGACAGGTCAGAGAGTGGCCACCACAGCTGCAGGCCCTAAACCTGGCGAGGCTGTTCCTTCCAGGCGGCTCCCCTCCAGGACCGGACTCCAGACTGACCCGTCTAGGTCCCAACCCCTCCTCCTCCCTACACCCCGCCCCCCACCCCCACCCCCAGCCCCAGCCCTGGCGCTCTGGGTTTCCTGCCCGCCCAAGGCCCCTGCTTGGGGCGGGCGGAGGAGGGGTGGCATTTCCTGGCGGGCCGTGGGCCACGTCACTCCCTCCCGGACGCTCGGACAGCGCGCTGACCGACAGGCACCAGATGCTATTTCGGGCGGCGCCCCACTTAGTGCGCAGTTTCCGTTTTTCCACCGACCGTCGGAAACAGGGCTTGGGGGGAGGGTGTAGACGTCATGAACCCCCAGCTCCAGGCGGGGGGTGGGGGACAGGTCCGGGATGGCTGCCAGACTGTCACAATCTGGAGCTTTGCGAGCAGAGGGGGATGGTGAGTGTCACCTCCCCAACCTGCCACCAATGTCTGGGCACACTCTCTGCCGTGGGGCTGGCTCACAAAAACCTTGCCGCCTGTCCCTTGTTCCTTCCCTACAACCTGGTAGGGTCATTTAATGCCCCGTAAGAGATAAATGCCTCAGATACCTAAAGTCAAAGAATTCAAAACCAAATGCAGAATCCCTCCCCCTGCCCCTTGGCCTCCAGGCCCCCATGTCCGGACTAACACCAGGGTCTAGGCAAAGGAAAGCCAGAAACCCAGAGCGTTCCTGGATTTCTCCTTCCCCCTCATCCCCCAAACCATATTCTTACAAACCCAATTTTGTATCCTAAATACATGCCTCAGTCCAACACCCTCCAATTGGATCACTGTATGGTGTCAGAACTAGTCTTCCCATTTCCCACCCACCCACACCCCTTCTCCACCTTGCAGCCAAAGAGTTTCCAGAAATGCAAATCTGATCCTATATAGGACACAGTGCCCCCCTCAAACCAAATAAACAAAATGGTTCCCCCCTAAATCCTTTAAATTGACCTCAAGCTTGCTCCAACCACAGTAGACTCTTTTCTGTTCCTTGTATGAAATTAAGGCCCTTCTGCTTCAGCCCTTGTCCCAAATGGAAGGCTCTAGATGTTCACTCTTCTACCCACCCTCAGATACCACTCTTATTTTTAATTTTTTTATAATAAGGATTTTTTAAAGGATTTTATTTATTTAATTGACAGAGACAGAGCACAGGCAGGGGGAGTGGGAGAGGGAGAAACAGGCTCTCCGCTGAGCAGGGAGCCTGATGCCAATGCGAGGCTCGATCCCAGGACCCTGGGATCAGGCCCTGAGTTGGAGGCAGACGCTTAACCAACTGAGCTACCCAGGCGCCCCTGAATCCCACTCTTAGATCTCAGTCCAGGCATCATTTTCTCAGGGAAGATCTCCCTGGCTGGGCTTTCTGATGGGGATGGCCAGCACCTATTTGCAGGGGCTCAGAGGTGAACTGACTTGCTCAAAGATGACAGCACTGGGCTTGGGACTCAGAATTACAGGACTCCCGCGCTTTCAGTTAAGTGATGCTGCCAGCAAAGGCAAGCGGGACCAGAAGAGGGAGAGAAGAAAGCCAACCCCACTGCAGGGAGGCTTCAGGGAGGAGGTGGCCAAAAGGTTGGGTCTTGGGAGATGGATGTGAGAAGAGGCCAGTAAGGCAGAAGGAGCAGCAGTAACTAGGGCATGAGGGAGGGTTCGATTTGATAATAATGGGTGAGGCAGGGATGGACCCATGGGGAGAGAGCAAGAGATGGGGCTTAATAGACCCCAGAGACCCCTCCTCAGGGTCCCTGCCAAAGGATGGTGTGGCTGGGCCAGGGGACACCTTGTGGCAAGTCCAGGAATTAAACTTTTTTCCGCAGAACATGGATGGCCCTTCTCCCATGAGATTCTGTAGGCGTTACCTGTACCCACAGGGCATCCTGACTTCCACCAGATAGCACAAGAGGAACAGAGGGGAACAGCCTGCACTGAATTAACCATATCTTCACAGAGAGTCATCCTGATGGCAAGGAGGGGCCAGCACTCCAACTGTGACCACACTCTGGGCTCCATCCTTGACTGGGATTCAAGGGCTTTTCCCTAGTTCTCAGGCTCCAAACCAGAGCTGCTGAAGGACCAAACATCCTGGCATGATGGGTAGACTTGTGGACTGGGAACTGGATACTTGGAGTTTGGGTCTCATCTTTTCCTGGGGTCACTGTGAGCTTTGGCCAAGTCACATCTCTCTGTGCCTTAATTTTCTTCTCTATAACAATAACCAGAATTCCCATGCGTGTGCATATGATGTCGTCCAGGGCTCTGGGCTGGGTGAGGTTCCATAGATTATTGTTCTCACCACTGCCTTTTTAAAAAGATTTGTTTATTTATTTGAGAGAGAGAAAGAGAAAGAGAGAGCACATGAGTGAGAGGGGCAGAGGCAGAGGGAGAGGGAATCTCAAGCAGACTCCACACTAAGCACACAGCCTGACGTGGGCTTGATCTTATGACCCTGACATCACAACCTGTGCTGAAATCAAGAGTCCCTCATTCAACAGACTGCACCACCCAGGCCCCTCACCACTGACTTTTTTTTTTTTTTAATGATTACAGTATCAGGTAGATATTATCTCCAGATTTTACAGACAAGGAAATGGAGGTTCAGAGCCAGGTGACTTGCAAGATTTGAGCCTGTGCTGCTTCCACTCCACCGTCAAAGAATGAAAGCAGATACCCTCCCTGGGCTGAGTCCCAGTCACCCACTCCTCACTGAACCCAGATTTCTACTCCACAGTAAGATCTTGGTCCCTGCAATGAGTTGAGCCCAGATCTGTCCTCCCAGCCTAGGCTCCAGCCGCCCTTCTTCATCACCTGAGCTCCAGAGAGGACTCTGATGCCAAATTTGCTTCAAACCCAGGCTCCACCACTTACTAGATCTGTCACTTAGGTAAAGTTTCTTTGACTCTCGGTGCCACAGTTTCTTCATCTCTAAATGGATGATAATAATAGCACCAGCGTCTTAGGATTGTTTATGAAAACGAAAAGAATTTGTATTTGTAGAGTGCTTAGAACGGTGCATTAGTAACAAGATTAAAATGTTTAAAATATAATGGGGGTTGGGGACGTTCCCAGGCTCGGGGCTCAGCCTGGAACTCAGCAGAAGGGACATTTAAATCGCTCCGTTGACACCAGGTGTCCCTCCACAGAGCCCTGGATACGAGCTCAGTCTATGACACTGGAGGCAAGCATGCTCCGTTTTAGAGCAGAAAAGAGCCAGGGCTGAAGGTGGGGTGGTGCAGAGGGGGAGCTGGGGGGCTTTCTGGGATGAGGAACTGCCCACTGAAATGCGGGTGTCTAGGACACTGGAGAGAGAATGAATGCCGGGGAAGGGTTGGGGAGTGATGTTTTGGGTGTCAGAGGCAGGGACGGAGTTCTGGGATGAGAGTCGCTGAAGAAAGGTGTCTGGAAGGCCGAGGGGTTGCGGGGTGCCCGGGTTCCCAGGAGGCTTCGGGATCAGAAATAGGGCTGGACTCGCGTAGTCCTAGACTGCGCGCCCAACTCTCTCCGTGGCGCATTCCGGAGCCGGTCCCAGCGCCGCACAACCAGTCCCCACTCCCTCCGGTGAAATTGCCAAATTAAAATGAATCATTTGGCCCATAATGGCCGAGGCGCTTATCGGGGGCGAGCGGACCCGCGGCAGTGCCTTATCTCGGCGGCGCACACGGCCCCGGCGCGCCTCGGCCCATGCTAACGAGGCCCAGAACGTGAGCGGGATTAGCGCGCGTCGCTGGAGGAGCCTGGGCGCGCGGGCGGGGGACGGGGACAGGGGCGGGGGCGGGCCTCCGCATTAAGGACCAGGCCTCAAAATGGCCACACGCATCCCCCCGTAGCGGCAAAACGTGAGCATTCTGGCCTTTTTCTAGGGGAAAGCAACCTGCGGCCTCCCGCGGAATTCCCCATCAGTTCCTCTCTCCTTTTCCCCGCTCGCAGGAGAGGTCTTCGCTCCTTTTCCCTGGGTTTCTTTCGATGGGGGGCATTTTCCACGGACGCCCTCCGCTCGCCGCCGCGGCCCCTCCCGCCTCGGAGACTCTCTTCCTTCCTTCCCCTTTTTCCTTACGCAATATACAGAAATGCGCGAGGCGGTGGTTGGTTTTCATTTCTTCTTGGTGGTTGTGTGCATGCGGTGGGATTGTGAGTGCGTGTGTGAGCCGTCGGCAATGCTGACTTCTTCCGAGTGTGGTCTTCCAGGCGAAGGGTTGTGTGTCCGAGTGTGATGGTGTCCGCGCTCTTTTGGTTGTTGATTTGGATTCTTCGAGCCCTTGTGCGTTTTCATCGTTGTATACGATTATGTTCGTTTTTCCTTCTCGACGTGGGTCTGGCTCTGTGTGTTGGGTTGTGTGGCCTTTGCGATTGTATTTGAGTAGTTTCGTTGTTTGTGTCGGGCGTGTGTGATCCTGACTACGTTAGATGTGTGTCCATGAGCGATTGCGTTGGACTGATTTCGTTGAATCGTGTTGGACAGTGTGCGGGCCTGACCATGTCGGCTTGTGGGGCAGTGTTGGGTTGTATTTACTTTGCTTCCCTTCTATGGGGCTGGACCGTGTGTGGTCCTGTCCATACTGGGTTGTGTGCCTGTGTGCTTGTGTCCTTTAGAAGTGCATTTGCAAATCGCTGGGGGGTGGAGGGGAGAGCGAGCAGGAGATGGAGCCGCAAGTTGAGGAGGCGGCAAGGGGGCGGGGAGAGGGATTTCACATTTTATTCCAAATTATGATGTATTCGGAAGCCAGTGTTGGCTTGGATGGGCAGACGGAGCCCGATCGGCGGCTGCTCTGTCCAGAGGCCAGTCTGTGCCTCGGTGTTTGAGGGGTTTGTTAGTGAGTGGGAGGTTCTTCCAGGCTCGAAGCTGAGCAGCGCTCGCCAAGGCCCGCACCTTCAAGCCGGTAGCCGCCGGCTCGGGTTTCGCCGCGCCCAGGCTTCATCCTTTTCTGGTTAGTTTCGCGGGTACCTCCGCGGGGTCTGCGGGAGAGGCCTGGAAAAGACAATGGGCGCATTCTCCAGGTTTCGCGCCTGGGGTGGGGAACCTCGGGATAATCTCCAAAGAACACTTTTCTATCCCTTCCCCGGGTGAGCGACATTGCGGCGTGGGTCAGGTATCCGCATCGGTGACCAGGGCCAGTCTTTGTGGAGGGATGGGGTCAGTGCTGCCCTCTCTGCGAAAAAATGGATTTTATTTTGCCAGTTATTGTGGTTACTAAAGTCATCGTCGTCATCATCACCATCATCATCATTCTATTTAATTAAAGTAATCGTCCAGTAGCAAAGCGGCTTGTCCTTTTTAGCTTCTTTGGAGCGATAACAAAGCAGCTTGGTTCCCCCCCACCAGCTTTATTTTTTTTTTTAAGTTGCTGGGTTTGAGGTAGGGAGAGAAAATGGAGAGAGGAACGGGCACAGAGACCCTGTCATAAAGCAAAAATTAACCCGGACCTACGACATGGGAATGAGTGGATTTTCCCTTCTTCCCACCCCTCCCCCATCTGGATTAGAAGAGGAGAAAGAAAATCTCCCGCATTGGACTGAAACCGCAGGGAAGAATTATTCCTATATTTCCACCAAAGCTGGGGCAAAAAGGAGTCCTTTGGAATTAATCCAGGATTTCGATGTGTAATCATAAACTGGACAATTTAGGCAAAACAAATTAAACAAAACCCTTAGGAAAAGAAAAAAAAGCAACCCAAATCTCCCTACGCTACACACTGGGAAGCAGTATTCGAGTTTACCCTCCCTGCCTTTGCCTTTGCAGTTTATTGCTGCAAGGAATTATTAGAATTCTCCCCTACTCTGCTAGTCTGAACACTGAAAAATTGAAAATTATCGTGTGGGGATGGTTGAAAGGAAGGCGGGGGCTTTCTTTCTTTCTTTCTTATCCGTGGAAGAAAAGAGGGGACCTAGATAGATCTGCCCCCCCATCCTCTTGGATCTGTGCTGTTCTGACTCCATTCCTGTGGGAAAGTAGCCTTTAGAATTGAGTTCTGGTTTCGCTTTCGGCTAAAGGTGGGCACGGAGAGAATGGGGGCCTTGGAGGTTCTGCCCCACAGATCAGGGTCTGAAAACCGGATCCCCCCTTTCCAACACACATTTCTCCACCCAGCTGTGCTAGGCATTGTGGCCGCTGCTCCGGCCTGACTGGGGTTCCCAAGCCAATCGCATAGACATGTCAGTGCTTAGAAAACAAACTCGGCCACCCTGAACCAGACATCCCGGTCGGAGGGCCCGAAATTGTTCCAGAGGTCTGTGCAGAGCTTGAGCTCGTTGTTGTTGTAATAGTTATGATAGTTATCCCTGATTGGTCAGGTGTAGAGTTCTTTTTAAAGGGGGATTGGGGAGAGGCTTCAGACACCTGCGGGGTGGGGGCCGAAAGCCGTTTGCAATTCCCTGGGCTGGTTGGCAAGGACAGGAGGTAATTCCCAGCCATTGACCCCCATTTCTCTCTCTCCCTCCCTCTCGCCCTCCCTCTTTCTCTCCACCCCCATCTTTCCTGGAAACTCGCTTTGGGCGCGGCAGACTGCCCAGGACCACACCGTGGCCTAACTGCTGGTCTCTCAGCGAGAGAGGGGGAAAGCAAAGACCCCCGTCTGCAACTTGGACCTTGGCTCCCGCCCCTCTCCGGCGGAGTGGAGATCCTATTCAGAGGGGCCGGTTTCTCTAAATATGCCCCAGGTGAGTTTTGGGGGAAGAGTATCGGTGAAAACGATGTCCAGGAAGACCTTGGCTTCCGGCCTGGGGTGGGGGAGGCTTAGGACAGAGGACAGTCCAGTCTACGACTGGGTGAGGGGAGGACGAACCCAGAGCTGGGAATCTGGGATCTGTGCCTCAGTTGCTTCTGGAGCCCTCTCCATTTCCATCGTGGTTTTTAAAAACACCTGGCTGCACCTTGTCGCCCAGGCCGCTCCCATCAGTCCTGGTTCTGTGGGTGTTTCACAAGGCTCCTAAATTTGGGGCGGCTATATCCGGATGGTGCAGGCTGCGTGTGCCTGGGCTGCCGGCAGGAAGAAGGCCCAGCCATCCCGCCTAGCACAGTCCCAACTCGGGTGGGCCCTGACCGGGGCCTAAGGCCTAGGGTGGGGCTGGGTTGGAACACCCCTCCGCTCTCTCGTAGTGGCAGGGAAGGTGGTTCTGTTCACTGGTGCTTTTGGTTCTCGAGCAGGCCTGGGGCTCCCCCAGGGGGTTGTTCGGGTGTGGGTGCATTATGAAGGACAGGAAGCCAGCTAGCTCTTACCCCGCATACCAGCAGGAGACTGTTTTCATAGGAGAAATTTTCCCTGCCGGGAATTGGCAGCTGCGGGAGACCCTGTGCCTGCCCGCTCAGGAGCCCCTGGGATCCCTGTCGTGCTCAGACACAAACGGAAACGTTGTGGCCATGTGGCAACGGGAGATGAGGGTCCGGTGTTGGGGGCTTCGAGCTGGTTCTGGGCGGCACAAAGACAGAGGAGTTGTAATGGTCAAATAGTCTAGTGTGAGTCTGTTCAAAAGCTTCTCCCCACTCTTTCATCTTCCCCAAATAAAAACAAATGAACAGACCAAAAAATCACTCAGGCTTTCCTTCCAGTAATCTTAACCGAAGCCAAGTGATGGGGTTTAGTCCCCTACAACCAAAGGTGCTTATGAGTCCTCTGTTGGCTTTTTCTGGAGCATGGACCCCCTCGCCTGGGTGATCCTGGTTGCTGAACAGCCCGCCGGGTTTTCCTAAGGTCCGGGTGGGGATGGGCGGGGAGAGGTCGGCCACAGACCCTGGGGACCAATCATAGGTTTCTCACAGGGAGCCTCGGAGATACAGATATTTATAGGCGGCTGGGGAGGGCATTTGGGGCCAGGGTCAACTCATCTGGAATATGTGATCCTCTTGCCCCTCCGGGATCCGCGCCTACACGAAGCCTTGGAATTAATCAGAGGGTTTAAATGTGTCATAAGGAGAGCTTGAACTCAGTCTGGTGATTGCAGTGTGCACTGTTTGTTACTCGGTTAGAAGCTGGGGCTGAAGCACGTGTCACTGGGCACACAACGGTGTGTGGGGACAGTAAGGTAGGGAATCGGCACCTTGGGGCTTGTATATTTTGCCACAGGATGGAATATTACTGGTGCATTTCACTGCTGCAGGGGAGCCTGGAAGACTGGACTAGTATACCTCTGGTGCATTTCTAGTGGCCGCAGTGTCTTGGCAGTCCCGTTCTGTGGATACGGATCTATTGTTTCCGCCATAATCGTAAACTCACTTCCAATGAAGCCTTGCGGACCCACTGCCTTTGCGGCTCTTGTACACCGGGGTCTTGGGGAATTCTGTTTCCTGGTGAGCCCCTGGAGTTGGCAGACCCAGGGCAGAAGTGCAATCCAAATGACAATTCTCCTCAGCTTGTGTGCCTGGTGGCAATTTTGCTGAGCCCTGGAGGAGGTTTCAGAAGGTCAGGTCTCTCTTCTGGGGTGGGAGGACGTTTCTCAGGCCAGCTGGGGTCCAGAGTGGTGCGGTGGCAGAATGGCTGCCGTGAGTGATTAGATGGACTCTGCTTGGGGCTGAATTGGATTTTTTTGTATTTTCTGCTATAAAATATTCCAATCATCAAATTCTGAGAGGAGAAGCCTTATTTTGAACATCTTATAAAGGCTGTCAACTTGATTTTATATATATATATATAAATATATATAATGTATACATGTATATATATGTAATGTATATATGTATATACATAAATATACACACATATATATGTGTGTGTGTATTTTATTAAAACAACTCACAAGCACCCCCAAACTCCAGACCCAGAGTCTCATGGTTTTTTGGTTTTCATTCTTTTGGTGCCCTGCCTCCATTGGCATCAAAGCAGGGTGATGGAAGCCACCCCCCCCCAACCAGCAAGTGTTAGTGGGGAATAGAGCCTCGTTGGTCACCCCGGAGTATGGTTGTGGAGAAAAGAAGGAGTGTCCTCAGCCCCAGGGATATACATGGGAGGGTTGTATACAGGAAGATGGTGCAGACAGAGTGAGATTGCGGTTCTGATCCTGTTCTGTGGCTCCGTGGCTAATATGTTCCTGTGACCTTGGGCAAGGCAGTTCCCTCACTGGCCCGGTCTCCTTGCCCGTAATAATGTTTACTTGAGCATTTGCACAGTGCTTGTAAATGCATAAATGAGGTATTGCTCCCATTTCCCAGAAGACAACAGAGGCAGGAGAGGGGGATGGAAGAGTTCAAGGACCTTCATGATACCTCTTTCCACTCAAGAGTGGGAGTCTAGACCCCAGTGGCCTCAGGGGCACTCTGAATGGCTGGGCTCCCTACCCTCTCAGCCAAGCCTCCCTTCGAGCCACCTCACTTCTGAGTCCAGCTGAGCAGAAGGAGGTGGAGTGGGGGGGGGGGGGGGGGGGGGGAACTCTGGGCTAGGATCATTTGCTTCCCTTCCTGGATGTCTCATCTCTGGTCTCAGTGGGAGTAAAGGGCCACTGGAGTTTTCAGCGGCACAGAATACACAATGCATTTGCTTAGTACAGGCGGACACTCCCTGCAGGGGGGTGAATATATGTTGAAAAGGAGAGCAGGAGTCTCTGCCAGCTGTGTGCGCAGGGGTCCCGAGGCCCTGTAGCCTCCATTCCCTGAGCTCTCTACTTGTTCACAGGCAAGGGAGGTTCGAAAAGCACCCCACCTCGGCGCCAGTTTCCCCGCCAAAACCAAAAGGGGGGCGGGAAGAACACGGTCAGGGGATTTGTTCCCTCCTCTTCCCTTGTGGCCTGAGCAGGGGGACAAGATGATATTTCTTTCTAGCCTCTTTCTACATTTCCTTCCTCCTTTTCTCCCTTCTGTTTTCTTTCGCGGGCAGTACTCCTTTTCTTCCAATGTCTGTCGTCTTTTTAACATCTCCTCCGTCTCTGTGTCTCCCAGACACCTTCTCTCTTCTCCCAAACCTTAGGCCCTCTTTCCCTCCTGCCCCAGCCCCGCCGCTGGGCCTTCAGGCCCCGGGGGAAGGCGTGTGTCCACGTGGCGCTAAGTCAGTCCGCCTCTTCCCACGTCTTGGTGCGCGAATTTCTCTCTGCCCTTCACCCACCCCTCGGTGGGCTGGGGGCGGTTGTCAGAGCGGGCATCCGCTTGTCTGTCTGTCTGCCCGCAGGATGACGGAGCGGCCGCCGAGCGAGGCGGCCCGCAGTGACCCCCCGCTAGAGGGACGGGACGCGGCCGAGGCCCGCATGGCCCCCCCGCACCTGGTCCTGCTGAACGGCGTCGCCAAGGAGACGAGCCGCGCGGCCCCCGCGGAGCCCCCGGTCATCGAGCTGGGCGCGCGCTGCGGCCCGGGGGGCGGCCCCGCCGGTGGGGGCGGCGCCGCGCGGGACTTAAAGGGCCGCGACGCGGCGGCGGCCGAAGCGCGCCATCGGGTGCCCACCACCGAGCTGTGCAGACCTCCGGGGCCCGCGCCCGCCTCGGCCCCCGCGGAGCTGCCCGGCGACGGCCGCATGGTGCAGCTGAGCCCGCCCGCGCTGGCGGCCCCCGCCGCCCCCGGCCGCGCGCTGCTCTACAGCCTCGGCCAGCCGCTGGCCTCGCTCGGCAGGTCAGGGCCGCGGCGGGAGGGGCGGGCGGGCGGCCACGGTGGGGGGGGCACTCGGCCCGGGCGCCCCTCTGCCCCTCGGAGCGACCGCCTTCCTCCCGACGGCGCGGAGCGGCTGGAGCGCAGGAAGAGAGGGGGTGTTGTAAACCCGAGGGCGGAAAAGCCTGCACGCCCGCGCCCGTGCGCCAGCGACCAGGGGGTCCTCTGTGGGCGTGTGCGTGTGCGTGTGCGCGGGGCTGGCTGCGGGGGGCTCCGTGCGTGTGCGGCGTGCGTGGGTGTGCGTAGGCCCGGGAGGGGGTCCACGCCTTCGGCAGTGCGGGCTGTGGCTGCCGGTGAGCGGGAGCGCGCTGGCCGCGCAGTATGTTGGGGGGTTGGGGGGGTGGTGTGTGTGTGTGTGTGTGTGTGTGTGTGTGTGTGTGTGTGTGTGTGTGTGTTAGGGTTGGGGATGTGGTGTGGACCGAAGGGTGTGTGTGTGTGTGTGTTAGGGTTTGGGGGTGTGGTGTGGACCGAAGGGTGTGTGTGTGTGTGTGTGTGTGTGTGTGTGTGTGTGTGT